AGAAATAGATAGAAAGATCTGACAGAAATAACTGGTGTATATATATATATATATATATATATATATATATACAAAGACATTTTTATACATTCTTTTATAGATACACTTATTTAAGTTTATAATAAACAGTATTAATAATTTTTACCAGCCTGAATGTCTGAGAAATTTTCATAGAAAATATGCGTCCTCCGACAGGAATCGAACATGTATCCTATACAGAACTGTCATATAGCCTGACGTGCCTTAACCGATTGAGACACAGAGGATCGTTCGGTTAGCAAGGTCGATTTTACTGCTTTCAAACTACAATCTTCCATGAACCTCTCACGTACATTCATATCAGCTCAATGCGTATCCAAATGTAAACAAATGACGTTACACGTTATGAAATGGGCAAAGTCCGACAATTATTTTTAGACATTTTTATGTTTATACATTCTTTTTATAGATACACATATTTAAGTAAATGGTATGTTTATAATAAACAGTATTAATAACATTTACTGGCCTGAATGTCCGAGAAATTTTCATAGAAAATATTCGTCCTCCGACAGGATTGAATGTACGTGAGAGAATCATGGAAGATTGTAGTTTAAAGACAGTATCGACCTTAATCGAACGATTCTCTGTGGGTCAATCAGTTAAGGCACGCCAGGCTATATGACGGTTTCGTATAGGATACAGGTTCGATTCCTGTCGGAGGACGAATATTTTCTATGAAAATTTCTCAGACATTCAGACCGGTAAATGTTGTTTAATACTGTTTATTATAAACAGAGCATTTACTTAAATATTTATGCTATAAAAAGAATGTATAAACAAAAAATGTCTTAAAATAATTGTCGGACTTTGTCCATTTCTTAATATATATATATATATATATATATAGAGAGAGAGAGAGAGAAAGAACAGAAATAGATAGAAAGAATGAAAGAACACATAGAAATAGATAGATAGATAGAACAGAGAGAAAAAGAGAGATAAACCGGTAGATAGATAAATAGATATGAAATATTCAGAAAAATAATTTTATAAATGAGAATTTCCTATTATAAGTGTAAATCCCATAAAAGATATTTATTCCCTTAACAAAGTTTCTGAAAAGTTCTTTACATCCGAAATCAGCTGAAATGGAAGAAAGAAATATAAAATGAGAAGATCGAAAAGCAAAAGCAAATCTCCGGTGATCTTTGTCCGATTCTTCATTTGAATTGCTTTTCTAATTTTCTCAATTAGACTTGCTGCCATTTTTTATTCATTAACTTATTCTACAAGAAGAAAAAACCGTATTTTTTTATTTTCTCTTCTTTTTACAGCTGTGTCATCTCTTGTGGTTTCTTCCCGTTCAAGAACTGAAAACAGCATCAAAACTTCTCAACAACTTTTATAAATGCACCGGCCTTCTTTTTTTATTTTATTTAATTACCAAAATCTTGGAGTGCATTGGTAAATGTTCTAAAGGTATTTTTATTTTTATTTTCTCTTATCTTGGACAATTGGTTTCATATTCGAAAAAAAGAAAAAACGGTAAATCAGTAAAAATCAAAGAAATTGTTCTTCTAAGCTGGCTTATTTTTGAATGAAAGAGAAATAACTTTTTATCTTCTTTTTATTCATTTGAATGAGTATGCTTCTCTTTCTATACAAGAGAGAGAGAGAGAGAGAGAGAGAGAGTGTGTGTGTGTGTGTGTGTGTGTCTGTGTGTGTGTATGTTTGTGTGAATGAGTACCAGAGAAAAGTAATAGAGAGAAAGAGTGAGAGGATGAAAAAGAGTGTGTAGAAGCGATAGACTGAGAAAATGAGTGTCACAGATAAATTGAAAGATTGTGAAAGAGGCTGAGAAAGGAAACGATTGTGAGAGAAAGTGAGAGGGTGTGAGAGTGACAAAGATAAAGAAAGAAGAATAGTAAGACGGAACAAAAGAGTGTGTGAAAGACAAAGAGAGAATGAAAGAAATAGTGGTAGTGAGGGAGAAAGTGGTTCAGAGAAAGTGGTAGTGTAAGAAGTGGATGAGACTGTTAGAGTGGGAGACAAAGATAGAGAGAGAGAGAGAGAGAGTGCGTAAAAGAGTGAAAGTGAGTGAGAGGGAGAAATAGATTGAGAAAGAGAATATGTCAGGGAGATATATTGAAAGCTTAGGAGTGTGAGATTGAAAGAGAGAGATCGAATAGGGAGAGAGACTGAGAGAGTCTGAGATTGACAAAGAGAGCGTGAGAGTGGCAAAGATAGAATGAAAGTGTCACAAAGAGGGAGATTGTGAGAGTTGGAGAGAGATTAAAAGAAATAATGATAGTGAAATTGAAAGAGAGAATAATAGTAAATGAGAGAGAATAGAAGAGAATGAAAGTGAGAAAGGGAGATAAAGAAACAGTGATAGTGAAAGAGGAAGATAGAGTGAGAGTGATAGGTTGAGAAAGAGTGTTTAAGTTATATAGAGAGGAAGCATAAGCGTGAGACCGTGAAGAGTGGGCAGTAGTGAGAGATTGAGAGAGCAACACAGATTGAGAATGCGAGATTAAGAAAGAGAGTGACATTGAGATTGAATAAAAGAAAGAGTAATAGTGAGAGAGAGAGAAAGAGTGTGTGTGAGAGAGAGAGAAAGAGAGAGTAAGAAATAAATGAATTAAAAGACCGTAATAGCGAGAGAAAGTGTGAGAGATTGAGATAATGAGAATGAAAGTTTGTGAGTGATTCAGAGTTTGGTTTGTTTAACAGCATATCAATTTCCTATGGTTCATTTAATGCCGAAAATTTCATTTTCTTGTGAGATTGATAATTTTTTGGTCCAAAAATGTATTACTGCTAATTTTTTAATGCTTCTTCTTTTACTATCCTAATGTATTGGTGGAATTTTTTTTCAAATTTATTTTTATATTTTCATTTTTTGACCCTATTTTGGGGGATTCATTTTTTTCTTTTTTTTAAATCATTTCACCCCAAGCAAGGTGGAAAGCCACTAGGACGCAAAGGGTTACAGAAAATTTAGAGATCAGATAGGAGTGATAGAAGAAAGGATGAGGAGAAGGGTAGTGGATAGATCAAGGCAACTGGAGATGTCGATTGACATTACACTTGAATAGCTGGAGATTATAGCTCACATAGAAACTGGAATAGGGAAGGGAGTTCCACAGGCGAGAGGTGCGAGACGTGAACCTATTGGAGTAGAAGAGACGGCTAAATTTAGGAGTTTCGACAGTGAAGGGGTGAGAGCGGGATGCCAGCCTCGTAAGGCGCTGGAACTCATGACGTCTGGGAACCAGCGAATGCAGCTCCTCGGAGCAATTTCCATGAAAGTATTTGTAGAACAGACAGAGGGGGGCGACGGCGCGTCTGTGAGATAGTGACTAACAGGTGCTACCTGATACGGGGGCTACCACTCTGATACGGTTCTACCACCCCGTATCATTGTAGACCTGGGAACAACAGCAATTTAGAAGTGGTTCTATTCTTCTCAAAAGCTTCAATCTCTCGATCAGAGTACTTGCTGCCGGATGTCGTTTATCGTCATACCCAGGACGAGGTGATTAAGAGAGAAAGCATCGCATTACACACATAAAGGATGTCAACACAATTTTATATTGATACCATACAACATATCATAAGAACGCATAAGACACTTAAACACGCATGTATGTATGACAATATATATATATATATATATATATATATATTGTCATCCACAGACAAACCGTTTCGCTGTATCACAGCTGATCAGTGTGGCTACCGGTTGTCTCTAGCTAGGATCGAAACCTGACTGAATTGGCGTCAGTCGGAGATTCTACCGCGGATTGGCGCACGGCAGGGATAAAGGTGAATTTAAGCGTATTTCTTTTTAGATAAACACACAGTGACTGAGAGAACTCGATTCGATTTACCGAAGAGTCTTGCATCATTAGACGTAATAGTCACTTTTTACAGACCCATACTTCCACCTCAGAGTGCTCAACCGAAATAATTATATCAGGAGCATGTGCACATGTTCAGAAATCGCACTGATGTCAAAATATAGTTGTTGTTGAATTGTCAAAAATATTTCTTTAAAATTTATGAATTTTGAAAACTGTTTAATATTAAATTAAACCATTAGACATGACTGAGATAAGACGAAGCGAGAGGGGAAAGAGGGGATAGCTTGAAACCTGTAAGCATCAACTGACTGGTAAACGGGAAATAAAACTAGACCAGAAAAAAAGGCATCGGTGGATAAAATCAAATTCAACCCGGTTTTCTTCTATCTGTTCTTAACAATTCCTTAATTCATTTACCATGTTCCGAAGCCAAAACTTACAAAGGCGAAGCAAGATCAAAATTCCAGGAAGTAACCTGAAGAAGTTCTCCTAATCATAAACTTGTTCAGAATGGCTGAAATGGTTCCAACATGTCTGAGGCAACTCCTACCATTTCGAACCAAACCTTAACTTTTATTACCTCTTTCTAATCTACTTTACTGTGTGTTTTTTTCTTAGGCGTAAGTCGTTTTTCGTGCTTATTTCTGTTCATCTCTTTTTAGTTTATTTGTGCTTTGGGAGTCATTTTTTTTTTTATTAGGATCAATTCTGTTCTGGATTTTCAAGAAAATGAGAAAAGAAACTCTAGAAATATACAAATGCAAAAGCACATCTGTATAGCTGCAGTTGAAAGGACGCGTATCACAGTACATACATATATAAACGTGTGTGTGTATGTGTAAAAATGTGTAGATACAAATAGATTTCAAACTGCACACGCATGTACAAAATATTCCTTTGAATACCTGAGTTTAATTGTAATTTTCAAATTTATAAATACAAAAGCGTTTAATCAGTATAATTATTAATACGTCAAATTATTCGGTCGTTTGTAAATGGTAGCGTACTTGTATGTGTGTGTTGTGTGTGTGTTGTGTGTGTATTGTGTGTATTGTGTGCTGTGTGTGTGTTGTGTGTGTGTGTGTGTGTGTGTGATTTATGAAAATCTGAAATCACCTGGGAAAAATGTTGGGTGTTAAATATTGCAAAAGAATGAAGACATTCAATAAGATTATTTCGGTAAGAAAAACTGATAAAATTGCTACAATTGACGCGTTCATTTGCCGCCAGCCACCAAATTCATATTTGACGCCATGTTTCTGAAGAACAAACGAGATTGGAGCGCGAGCGAAGATATAAGCGGGAAAAGCGGGAAAATGAGATGCAAAGAGCGAAGAACGGAATAAAAATTGGAAATAAAGGAAAAATCCGAAAAGGAAAAATCCGAAAAAGAAAAAAGTTCGAATGAGAAATGCAACAGTTTTTTTAAAAATAATAATAATAATAATAATAATAAACAACTCTGCCTCAATGCAACAACAACAACACTAGGGTGTAACTGTATATCGTAGCTTGCGAGAGCTTGTCGGGAGAGAGTAGATATTTTTACCCATATTTCACAATTAGTTCAATATTCATGTCTACCGTAGGATGATTAGATTCTAAAAGATCATTTCCCGGGTCATTTCAGAAATTGCTTTTAATGTTGCAAAGAGCAGATCAAATATTTTTAACGTGCAGACTTTAAAAAAGTGCAAGATGAAATATGGAAAGAACACTGAATGTATTCTCAAGACAAAGGTTGACGAAGATGAAGCTTAACGCATTCTTTTCTTTTAATTCCTACCAGCTTCATACTGTTGCTTTAAAACCGGACAAAATCAAAATTAACTCAGAAACGTAGATTCTTTTTCTTCTTTTTCTAATTATCATTATTATTATTATTATTATTATTATTATTATTATTATTATTATTATTATTGTTGCTGTTGTTGTAGGCTTCAAACTCTTTTAGGAATGAATATTTTTACATAATTAAAAAAATTGTGGCACAAGTTCGAAAGGGATGTGGGGAAAAGGCTGGTCTACATTAACCATCCTAGTCGTATTTAATTACAATCATGAGCCATTCATTCATTACAATTTACTCATTCACCACAAGAACTCATCCATCACTTCTCAATCCTGCATATACCACAATACCGCAAATTCACAAGGAACCTAAAAAACATTTCATAACCTAAAAATTACGTAAATGTCCATACTTTCTCTTTTTGTTTCTTTTTTTTTCTTTTTTCCTATAAAAACTCTGTTGGGAATGACTGCAAAATACTTGTTCCTCCCTTTTTATAAGTAATAAAATAGGCCGGTTCACGGTTTCACCTGACTCAGTCCCGATCTGTTTTGTCAGAACGCTACGTTCGCTTGTTCGAACTCGTTTTTGTGTGTCGACGCCAATTCTTAATTTGTGAACTTTTTTGCCATATTTCTGTTGATTTGTCTTGCATATATTGTTTGCTTCCCTTTTTTTTTTTTGCTATTGCTTATTGAAAATTTTCTCAATTCTCTTTGTTGGAGGAGTTCTGTCACTTATTTTACATTTGACCATGTGTTATGGTATACCCTTCTACAGTAGAATGAACTCTTCCTCCTTTCATAAATACTAACTGCGAGACTTTCTAACGGGCAGCGTTGAGCAGTCGTTGAACAGCCGAGACGCAGGTGTTAACCTATCGTTCTCACGTACACCTTTATCTGCTTATTATTAACACTCTTGCTTTGTATATATCTGTTATTTCAATGCACTTGTTCAACCTAATTCGTCTTCCGTGTCTTTCTTTCTGGCCCCTAAATAGGCCACAACAACATGGGTACTCACTCCACGGTTATTATTATTATTATTATTATTTCATTTTTGGTGTTTCGAGATAATTGTGCTAGAGTCAAAACATTTGCGCTGAATATGAAATGTGTAGTCAATAAAGTCCCTATTTGTCGTAGACTGTTTTAGTGAACACATTCCTCATTGGTTGTTTTCTGAACTTACAATTTGTGCTAAATTCGGTCTAGGTTTGTAGTTTGTAGTCCTTAACTTATTCTCCAGCGGCTTTTTTCAGATATTTAACGCAGAGTGAAACTCCTTATATTAAAGTTGCAATGGTACGTGGAGCAGATTTATTGCAAAAGAATTAATGCCATATTTGTCATGTCTTGTTTGCATTATAGAAGGTTCAGTTATCGGAAATAAGCTGTGACAGAAGCGACCAAGCGCCAGTCACCGGGTCAGATCATAGAAGAAGCCAGACTTTAGCTTGTATGTTTTTGCTCTAAACGCATATGACAATCGTAGTTAAAAGATTAAAGTAACTCTAAAAATGTAAATATATATGCAAAACGATAAACAAATATTGTGAGCTTGAATATGGTGAGCCTGTTTACTAAAGTTTCCCCAGATGAGGTTCTGAGAGTGGTTTGAAACCCACTGGAATCATATCCCTTCCTGGGAGAACGTCCTAACATTCCAATAAATTATCTGATGAAAATGTTGACATTCTGTGTACAAACAACATTCTTTCAACTGATATATATCAATAGCAGGAAGGCTTGGCTATGGGTTCGCCGTTGTCACCAGTGATAGCGAACATGGAATACTTCGGAAAAATGGCTTTACGGGCTGCACCACCGAAGCCAACAGTATGGCCGAATTAGGTAG